TGAAAATATCACAGACACATCACCACATGTTGTCTCAGTACATACATAGTTTATTTCAGCACAGCCGTAGCCCATCAATACGGAAATTGCTAGTAGCCACTTTAGTACATCCTTCTATACATGTAATGGTATACTAGTATCCAATCTTGCCATGACGTTACCTTGCGTACACTGCTATTAAACTTCCCGGTAAGGTGATATCTGTTCAAATGATCACAATATCACTTGAAATGATTGACAGCTATTAACACATGGCGATTAACATCGCTTGGCGGCCCAAGGAGTGTTCATGACGTCCGGTCACTTTGACATCATTGCTTGAGGGGGGTGAACATGCTGAACTTCCGTTTCCAGCTACGCTGATCGTACTGATTTTCATTTTGTACTTCAAAGTGAAAGGCTGTGTTTTCTGAACTTGAGCAAAGTATTTTGTTTTCATTGTAGTGAACATAACACTGGGTATTTCACTGCAGTGAATATAACTCTTTGACGGAACAATTGTCGCACAAGAGTTACCTCCTCACAAATTCCCTCCCTTTATCGCATAGCCCGTACACAAACTGTTGACTTCCATTTCAAATTAGTTCAACATTAGCATGACAAATTAATGACAAATGGTCATTTATGGAGTTAATGTCGCTTCTTGTCGTTTGTTATATAATTCTCTTGAAATTGTTTCGTTAAAAACTGTAATTTGCTCATTTAACTCGTCAGTCAAGACTGTTCGTTTCGCAAAGCAGCTTTTTTGTTGCTCGGCCAGCTGTATTCTTTCTCTTCCAACGGCGGTCTCGTAGATTTCTGGGATATATTTTGTTGATTTGGTACATAATTTATCCTAATGTATGATAAAGAATTTTAGTGACCTACAATGTTTTTTGTTACTTTTGTTTATATCTTTTAAGATTTTGCAAACACGGAAATGCGTCCTAAGTCGCAATTACAAGAGGTGGTGAATTTACGTTTCAAGGTTTTACATTTGTAATGAAATAATTTAATTTTCTGGTTAACAACTACACAATAAGTATATAGGATATTTTCCATGTGTCGAGTGAAACATCATGTTTCTCTCATCTCGTGACGGGGTAAGGAGATATTTCACTCGTGGCCAGTCACTCGTAAATATATCTCCATTTCCACAAAACTCGATGAGAGAAACATTATATTTCGATCGACACGTTACATATCCTCTATATATGGATATAAATTAATTCTTATAATTATGTAACTGTGTAAATAAAAGGACAAAACCCTTTCCATAATGTGGGATTTTGTATGGAGACGAGATATGGAGAACAGATATTTATTTGAATTAAAGCTATGGACCTAAATATTTTTTTAAGAATAACACCTTACAATAGTATATTTTTGTGTGTTTTTTTCCAACAATCTGAAGCATAATATTTTTTTAAGATTTTATGGGACAAATTTCTATATTCTATAATAACCAACGATGAGCAATGCAAATACCGTGTATATTGCAAATATGCCAGATTATTGGCCGATATGTAGACAAACGGTCAAAAAGGGATAGACAAGTTTGTCTGTAAAGCAGTACTGACTATGGTGGAGTCATTACAGTCTCCAAGGCGGACCCTAAACGACTAAGACAAAAACATGTTAAAGTGGACAAGATGCTATTCTGACCATATCGGGCCGACACCATGCCACCATGACTCCACAGTTATCAATGCTTTGCCTTAGGCAACACTGACTGACTGACTGAGTATGGTTTTACGCCGCTTTTAGCAATATTCCAGCAATATCACGGCGGGGGACACCAGAAATTGGCTTCACACATTGTACCCATGTCGGGAATCGAGCCCGGGTCTTCGGCGTGACGAGCGAACGCTTTAACCACTAGGCTACCCGACCGCCACTTAGGCAACACACATGTCGACCCTTGACATAGGAGTTTGCACCTACATAAAACTATTGAATGTCAGTTCGTATATTACATCACATAAAATGTAATCTCCTTATTCCGATCACTCATTCTATAAGCTATTGGGAGCATTTGAAAATTAGATTAGACACAAAGTTTTCAGCACACACCAGTTCAATTCAAGAGATAAAACTGATTACGTGAGTTATCGTCTTGGCCATGGAACGTTTACATAGATGGATAAAGTAAGGTGTTAAAGGCCATTTTGCTTCAGAAGCGTGTAAGTAATAGAAAACAAGCAAGGATAGCGTACGTCGTTATGACGTAAACATTGTTTTCAGGCACTTACTTTTTATGCAAATTGTTTGAGGGACGGGTGCTACTGACTTTTGCAAAAAACACCTTGTATCAATACTGATTATCAGTGATTCATTCTTATACTTTTCACTGCTGTTGTGGGTAACTCAGTGGAATCCGATAATCGAGACTTATCATTCTCTGGCGTTGACGTTTTATAGCTAACATATCGCATGTGTAGTAGTACCTTATTATAGCCAACTTAAATGAATAAGGAATATATTTTAAAAGCCACGACACATGTTATAAATTTAGTATCAGTACTTAAACAGATCCACGTGAGTTACCTGGGTGTTGGATGTCTTAACATAAGGGGTCACTGGTGGCCCCGTCGTCTAAGGTGCAACAATTCGCTGTGCTGAGTTGCGTCCCTTGAGCACGCCAGAAACCTATGATTATGGGTTCTAATCCCGATGTGTTTAGGTTTGTCAGTACCATACATGTACTCGTGGGTTTCACCGGAGCGGTAAATGTCAGAGACCTGCACAAATTCGGTCTTCCCTTCCACAATAAGCTGACACGCTTGATATAACTGGAATACTGTTAAAAGCCGTAACCTCAACTCACTCACTCACTCTTACCATTCAGTTACCATGGACGAATATAGAGTGAACAAGAAATGTCCGCAGCTATGTATCTCATCCATGTTTCTATTTGCATTGCATTTTGTAATGTCTTCGTTGTGTATCGCCTCCGGAGTCTAGTGGATAGGGCTTCTTCCCGGGGATCGGGTTAGTGGTTGGATTCCATTGCCCTCGTCATACATCAAGACGTTAAAAGTTGGTACGCGGCCTGGTACTCGGTATTGAGGGATAAAACAAGGACTGTCCAGCACAGACTCAATTTAATGTGTCTGAGTGGGATATCCACGCCAAACAACCGCATGGTATCTCAGTGGGCTAGGGCGATAAACATCGGCCTCCGGACTACTACCAGCAGCCCCCCACACGTGTACGTGTACGTCGCTATGTACATGAAAGAATGTTGAACGCGATGTTAAGCCACATTTCACCTCACCTCACCTTTTTTGTATATCCTTTCTTCATCATTCTCCCCGAGGTAATCGGGGAAAGAAAAGGCCTCCAGCGCTTTATTGCTTTTCGTAACAGGCGACTAAATGAATAGGTGGTCACGGTCCGTGACGTGGTTGATTGAGTGCCATTGTACCCCGACAGGATTAATATTGATTGTCTGGTCAAGACACCATTTATCGAATGCGTCAATGAGTGATTTTGCATCAAAATGTAAATATGAAATGTAGGTTATGTAATGAATTGAATGAAACTGTGCAACACATTGTCAGTGGATACCCAGCTTTGGCACAAACACAGTATCTTAAGCGACATGATGGTGTGGCTCGATCATTTTATTACCGTCTTCGCAATGCTTGTGGTTTTGACACAGAGGTCCATCCATGGTACGACCCAGAATATGTAGAGGGCGTCATGGAAAATGATAAATACAAAATTCTTTGGAATAGGCCCATTTATAGCCTCAGGCGTATCCAGGCCAATAAACCTGATCTTGGCCTTTTTGATAAATACTATGAAATCATTTATATCATTGAGTTTTTGTCCCTTTTGACACTAATGTGATTATCAACATTCAGGAAAAACATGGCAAATATGCGGACCTCACTTTCGAAATTTCACACTTCCACTCAAGTAACAAGTTGTCCGATTCCCTATTGTTCTCAGTGCCTTAGGTTTGCTACCTCCCAATCTGTTGACTGACATTGGGAGAGTACCCAGGTTTGCTACCAGGAATACAACCCTTCTGACAATCTGAGTAATGCAGAAGGCTGCAGTGTTAAGGAGTCTTCACATTCTCCGAAAATTTGAGGGTGGGTTTGACTAGGCAGCGCTTCCTGGGAAGTCCCATTCGCTGTCTGGGCTGCGTGTAGAGGGGGCAAGGGTCCTGAACTGATGATGAGAATAAACAGCCTGACTGATAACAACAACAACAACAACAACAATAATAATTGCCTTTCTCCAAATTCCCTTCGAAACTATAATGCATTATAAATCACGATATCAATTGTTGTTGAGCAATATACATGGTATCATATTACCAATACATCAAAATGGCATCTAGTTACAGACAAACGTGATACATGTTTGAGTATGCATGTAGTACATGACATTATGTTACACATATGAACAGAGCCTAGTGGTTGAAGCGGTCGCTCGTCACGCCGAAGGCCCGCGTTTGTTCCCCACCATGTTTGGCTGTGTGAAGCCTATGTGTTATGTCCTCGACGTGATAATGCTCGAATATTGCGGAACTCAGCATAAAACTACACTCACTCGCTACTATATGAACAAATGTGTGATCGCCTTAAAATAAGACTGTTTCGCAAAAAGTACACTCTAGAGAGTGTGAGAGTGAAAAAGAGTGAAAATATAGCAGTTGCACAATTATAAGAATAAAGTGGCTTTGTTGAAAAATAAGTCATTTGGTTCCCAAGGTAGAGAAAACATTTTGCTACATGTTCAAAGTTAACCAACTGATTAAAACCATTGGTGCTACTGACAATGTTCATATCACACCAACAGCAACATAAACCGGAAGTGAATTATACGAAATGCAATTATCAGGCCCAGTTCCGCGTTGTTTGACCTGAAGGGGAGTGTACACAGGCGGTCAAGGGGTCATAAAGCCCATCATCAATCATCTTTGATCTGGACCTGGTCAGCGGACATTAAATAAAGCCACAAGCATCGACTGGCCACTGAAGAGGGAACCACGGTACGGGGTTAGAGGACGGATTGGTCATCGCATCAGAGGTAGGTATGATCAGTGGCCCAAGAAAACCCTTAACCCCTAGTTATAGAAACCATACCAACAACTGTATCCATTCTGAAAATTTTCCAATGAGTAGGGAAAGAAAATTAAGTATAGGGCCACACTCTTCCTTTTCTCCTTTGGTATTTTGTTCTTTGACTTCTTCATATTTGACTGCTTCATGTTTGACTTCTTCATGTTTGACTGCTTTATATTTAACACGTTCTTTTTTTGTAAATGCCACAAACGTTTCCTTCTTTGCGAAAACATAATTTTTCCCCGCATCAACATTAGTTTCAGTATCTTACAACATCTCTGTGTTGTCAATTTACTGAGCAATATGTCTTACATGTAAAGGTTCTTTAAACAAGGAAATGAATCAGATCATCATCAAAACAAAATGGTTAAAAAGGATTCTGCTTGAAGAAACATGTACTTTCATGTAGTTATCTATGTCTTTCAAAACAATCTGTTTACTGATTTTCAGATACCCAGGAAAAAACAAGATGTTGTCTCGATTGCAAGCGTTGTGGTTGGTCTGCCTGGGTATGCTCTGCGTTGGAGTGACGGACGTCAACGCACTAGCACCGTGTGCTGACTGTGAGTTTTATTACGTGGAAATATTCTACCCGACTCAAGGTGTCCCTCTCTATTCACAACCGTCATTCAGCGCCGCGGGACAGCTGCTCTTCAACTATGCTCCGAAAGTCCATCCGATTCACGTGTTTCAGGTGAGATTTTTAATCCTTATTGAAGGAAGCCTAATTGTGAAAGGATTGGATCGTCACTGCGGAACCCGTGTTCGATTCCACAAAGCAAACTTAAAGCTTTGGTGATTATAGCTCTGACATACTTACGATCATACGTTAACATTGGCTTAAGGGAATATGATAGTTTTCTGCTCAGGGTACAATACTTGATGACCGTACACGTATCTGGTGTATCCAATCATAGTATTGTCAGCATCGTGCTACTAAAGCGTTAAACGTAATCACTTGGTATTATTATTTACTGGGAGAGCACAGCAAAACAGCAAAAGAAGCCTGACAGTTAATTTCGAAGATGCTTAATATTAAGAGGTGAAGCGAGGTGAAATAGGGTTTAACGTCGCGTTAAGATTATTGCGCTTATTAGCGACGTACATACACGTGTATGTGTATGTGGATGCTTGTAATAGTCCCGACTAATGCTGGTTTGTAGTGCAAGTCTACAGAGACATCATGCTGCAGTTTGACGTGAATACGCCATTCAGACACAGTATACTGACTCCGAGACGACCGTGTTTTATTTTCTTAATACTGAGCGCAAGTCAGAGTAACTAAACGTACTATTTTTTAACGTCTTTTAATATGTCCGGGGATCGAACCACTGACCTTCCGCGGTCCTGGCTGACCTTCTATCCTAGACCACGAATGCGGGCCCTTGATAAGAAAATAAGAGAAAAGTTGAATGTTTTGTCAACGTCCGTTTATCTTCAGGGAGTATATGGATGTCATATGTATCCTCTATATCCAGAAAGGCTCAGCCATCTAAGGACGTCCTTTGTCGTGCCAAAACTCGATGATCATGGGTCCGAAAACCAGATCCGCTCATCCTGTGATTCTCTGCTTGTCAGCACAGTAACTGTACTCGTGGGAGTCAAGTTGTGAATGTATAGTGGGCGGTGGGGTAGTCTAGTGGTTAAAGCGTTCGCTCGTCACGCCGAAGACACGGGTTCGATTCCCCATATGGGTACAATGTGTGGAGCCCATTTCTGGTGTTCCTCGCCATGATATTGCTGGAATATTGCTAAAATCGGCGTAAAAACCATACTCATTCACTGTACATTCACCCACATCACTTAAGGCGTTCTTTCCACAAAGAGCCACTGCGATGTAATATAACGAAACTGCAGATGAAAGCGGCGGCAAACCCAACTAACTCACTACACACTCCTATCTCTTATTTCTGTCCACCAGGAAATGACTAGACCAATGTGTGGAATCCTAGAATTAAGGCGGCGATGGCCCTTCCAGGATTCCATGCCAAAGTTTACAAACGTAGCATCTTGTTATACTGTGCTGTGCTATTCAGAACATAACAGTACACAAAACCAACGGATTAACACATCATGTATGTTCATAGGTCCATTGTTAAATACAGTACACAAAGAACCAGATGCTTAATTCATTACGTTTTAGAAAACTGCATTCTGATAAGACCATGATTTTGCTTCTTTATGATTTAATCATTTGTGTTTTTAGAAATTCATTAGCATCAAGAGCCTGACATTTTCACGCTACTTTGGCGTCATGTCTACCGCGTCACAATGCTTGAAGTTTCATTCAACAGGACATTATGACGTCAAACGCTGCAAGGGTCTTGTAATATGCGCTAGTTTGGGAGGGTTGTAGTGTTTCATCGTCAATCGATGTAAGTGTTGTGGTGAAGCTTGTTTGCGTGTATGACAGTACACCTATGTGGTTTCCTTAATTCGACTGCTCCAACTGAGGATGCCACTCCCCTCATCACTTCCGCTACAACCAAAGAGTTTGAAACCTCTAAATTGCTAAACAGTCGGTTTATCCCCTATATTAACGGGGCAAGATCTATTGATCCTGACAGCAAAGTTTACCTTTACCGCCACCTGTATTTTTGTCAACGTTTACAGCCACGGCTAAATATTTACACATACACGTTACAATTGTTACTAATATGCTCAGTGTTTTATTATATAACGAATAATAATAATAATAATAACAACGAATAACGAATAAAAATAATAATGTTCATGTGAGAATCCTACCATATCAATTACCAACGTATACAGATGTGGATTAAAGGAGTAATAAATGACAGACTCATATTTTCCCCCCCGCAGCTAAATGTTTGATGAATGTGTTCATCCTTGTTGACGGGAGGTGGGCTTAAACTTCCTTAACGACCTTCCCGAACATGGTCACTCACGCGGATCCTGCACTGTGCTGTACATTGAATCAGTATTGAACCACACAAGTGCAAAGTCAACATTAAAGTTCACAAGTACATATAAATATCAAGGCATTCGCCACAAACTATTAAAAAGGTTACCGCCTAAGGGATACTCGTTCTCTGTCAAGATACGGATAAAGATCTGATCGATATTCAATGCGTAAACAGAATGAAAGTTTGTATTATTATCGTGTATATTGATCACTGAATATAAATTGAAAAATGTAAAAACACGATAAAGGGGGTTTAAGGAACTGATTTATATATCTTGATGCTTTACTTCTGAAAAATGTCGTGATCCAAAGAAGGTGTTTATGGCATAAACAATACCAAACTTGTAAACGTGTTGAGCACCTTTCATAATCACTGCCTGACTACTTTATTACAAGTATGTCCGCCTACATCAGGTAAATAACAATTATATATTTCCTAAGAAAAACATCCATATTGAATGTTCCTTCCCATAAACGTTTACATTCAATGCATGCTGTTTGTTTTGAGATGGAATTCTTTCTGTCCACAGGTCGTGGGTGCTGGCAAAATTGCAGCTAGTAAGTACAGCATGTCTCGACACTATATTCAACTGATTTCATTTGTACAGTCCAAAGGCAATATAGTGCCCCTAATCATACACGTGACAAAATAATAATAGGTGAGGTGAAATGGGGTTTACCGTCGCGTCCAAGATTATTGCACTTATATAGCGACGTGCATGCACGTGTGTTTGTGTGGCTGCTTGTACTAGTCCGGACTGATGCCGATTTATAGTGCTAGCCCACTGGGATACCATGCCGCAATTTAACATGAATACCCCACTCAGACACAGTATACTGACTCCGAGCCGACCAGTCCTTGTTTTAGCCCCTTAATGCCGAGCGCCAGACAGGGTAACAACAAGTACAATCTTTTAACGTCTTTTGGTATGACGCGGCCGGGGATCGAACCCCAGACCTTCCGCTCTCCAGGCGGACGCTCTACCATTAGACCACGGAGGCGGTCCGAAATAATAATAACTGATGTTAATATAGTTTGACCATCATCACAACGATTAAATGTTACTTTTGTTAGATCCTAGTGTGTTATGAAGTCATACGTAACTGATCATAGGAATTTATTAATATTCGCAGATTAATAATAATTATGTTTGATATAGATCATATTGATGATCAGTTGTTCATTATTTTACATGTTTGCTGGGAAATTATTATTATTATTATTTTTAATGAATATGGTTTTACGCCGCTTTAAGCAATATTGCAACAATATCACGGATGATGATGATGATGATGATGATGATGATAATGATGACTTGTATCTGCTATTGTAGTCGTGAAAGTAATGAAGCCAGGCGTGATGTCCAACATGGTGGTGGAGGTGACGAATCTTGGGATGGAGATCGATGCTGTGGCTCTTTACTCCTTTGAAGCATTTGCCCTGTTTGCTGGAGCTCCTCCACCCCTCGCCGTGAAGCCCCTCAGGGTGCTGCCTTGCCCCCGGGTGTACCTGTTAGAGATGGCTATCTCTCCTGCCGGTTAGTAGAGGGATTGTATTGATGGTTGGAGATCATAAATGTGTCACTAATTAAGGTGCATATGATTGAGGTAAATTTGATCAAGGTGTATCATAGCAATTATAATTGGTACTTATCGCTTTCTGGAAATAGAGGGCGCGAGTAAGTGGGTTGGGTTTGACGCCACTTTGACGACCATATGCTTCTGGTTTGCCCAAGCGACGCAAATCTATACAGCTCTTTAGACTTGGTCACTCACTCACACACCCTTTGGAAATAGAACGGTCATAAGAAATATATCACTGATGTGAAACAAACTAAATATTACTTAGTTATGTTTTTTATTTAATTACAATGTGTTATTCCTAATAGCGGATATTTACAATCACAAAACACACTCGCCTGATAACCTCTATTTACTCTACCTCTTACTTATAATTCTTTAACAAATTGTTGTCTGGTAGAAGTGTACGCATACTTTATATTGACTGCAATCTGTTGAGTCATCTTATAAATATACTCATATGAATGTTCGTGTTTAGCACAGTCATACAGGAATTTGAGGTACGTTTGTCATTTCAGGAAATGCCTCTGAATACCGAACGGTTCTTGGAAAATTTGCCAAGGAGATCCTTCAACTGAAAAAAGCTGGAATCATCATGGACGCCTACAAGTTCCTCGCCACTGTCCCGAGCTCTGTGAGTTTTAATGAAATGAGTGCATTGGTTGGCTTAAATACGACGTATAGCAGTCTTAAAGACACGTAAACGTTGAATTAATGAGGATACACACATACAAGACTCACTCATTCATGAATTGTATTAACAATGCAGTAGACTACGTTAACGCGAATAGCTACAAAACCTTAGAAATTGCCTCAGTTCATGGTCGTCCCTTCACCATCCTTACAGGACACATCTGTTCGGGACCTGTCAGTAACCTTTAAATGCCAATTCAGGGTCTTTGTCAACCATCAGTTTATTATATTTAATTATACTGTCACTTTCAAATAGATACATTAAAATGACAAATCATTTTCTTTCACACGCCTTGACATGTCAGTACATTATCTTTCACATCCATGACACATTAGTTCATGATCCTGTGCATCTTTTCCTTCAGTTCATGATCCTTGGCTGTGGAACGCCCACCTTTTACGATCAGCTGACGCTCAGCATGGGCAGCTTGGCTGATGATTACGGGTCTTTCGAAGTGGGACGTGCCACTGCCCTCACCAAATGGAACCCTCTAATCGGTGGCAAGGGTGGAGCCTGTTTCTGGGGTGGAGCCGCGGCAGGCCTCTTTCCTACTGGAAAAAAATAATTGAGGTCCAGTAGCGGTTTAATCACATCCCGGTTTTGGACACACTGTTCACAAAGTTTACTATGTATTTTTATACCAAACTGTACATAAGCTTTCGAAACTTGTTTCGACTTAATCCTTGATTCAAAGTTTCGTCCTCTAAATGTCAGCAGTTTCAGCCTGTACATTTTCTGTTCCGGTTTTGCAGCTGAATCTTTGTGTGAAGGGCAATTGTGTGGTGAAGAATTCAAAACGGCCGCCATGCGAGGGATGATTGATAAGTACTGAGCCTCGAATAATTGCGTAATTGTGATATATTTTGTTGTGGACACTACATAATATAATAGGTATATCCACACAAAAAGTGAGTCAACTGAGCAAATGGACAAACTTTATGAACGTGTAGCGATCAAGTACTTTCAGAAAAAAATCCATCCATCAGGAAATGGGTACAAGATTATGAAAGTATACCCCTTTCTATGTCAGTGTAAAGAGGTGGGAAGCAGAGTTTAAGCTTGGCACGGACAGCCTTGAAGCGCCACGCTGCTAGTTCAGTAGACATTTCCCATGATAGGGTATATTCCATTATCTCAGAAACTTCTGGAATGACTAAAGTGTCAGCCTGTTGTATTCCCAAACTTCAGACATCTGATCTTAAAAGCACCAGGCCCAACATGGCTCATGATTAATGCGATATGTTTGAAGCTGATACACAAAGGTTCTTGGGACCACTTGTGTCTGTAGACGAAAGCACTTACCGTCAAAACAACAGTCGGCAAGTACTTGATCACTGCAAATTCCTCAAGTTTCTGAATCGGTCACAGCTCAATTGACTCAAGTGGTTTTTTTTTGGATTTGACTCAATGCGGCCATGTTAGTTCCACAACAAACGATTTCACTTTTCCGCAATACCTCCTATGTGAGACTCAAAACTTATCAATCAACCCTCGTTGAAGTCGTCATTATAGTTTTTTAATGTTTGTTACTATGTAGAATAAACTAGGCTAAACTAGTAAGTCATACGTTTATATTTCAAGTTTTTTGTTGTTGGTTTCTTTTTGCAAGGGGTATGTGTGGTTCAGTTGTTGATGTCCCGTAATTCGCAGTGTAAAGTTGGTTTTCGTAGGCGTTTCAGAATCACATAATCCAGGGTTCGATTGCCCTTTCACTGTGTTTTCTGTTTGTCAGCACCATGCTGTGCTAAATTGTTTGGCTAACCTTCACTATTCTGTAATGCTGATTTTGATATTCCCATTACTTATAAGGCTGCATAAGAAAACGTTTCTCAGGCACAGTATTCTCAAAAGTAGGGTACACATGAACACGTCTCAGTAATACGATATCAGTTGTGAAGCATGGGTAACGGTATACGGTAAATGGAAAATTTAATAAATATTTTTTGGTCGACCAATTCTTGGCATGAATTTAAATGACGATGCCCGAGAACCACTTCCTTTTTCAGCCAAATTGGAGCTCGTTTTGTTTGTGTTTTGTTAAGACCATTATAAAGTGTTGGCCAAACTGCCCACCATGAACTGTTCATATTCACTGTGAAGTGCCTGTGAACAGGTAACACGGTACTAGTTGACAATCATTGTGATTTTTGTAGTTGTAGGTATTTACGACACGAATTTGCCAAAAATATATCTATGACACTTTCTTCTTGACATACGACTATTTTCCTTCATCACAATGCAGACCCAGCCATATACCAAATCCATTACAGATATCAATTTGACTGATATCCAAAGGGCGAAACGTCATCACGCCAAAGTCAATAACGTATAGAACTTCAGAATGTGTTTCCGTCACTGCTTGTTCTTTGTTTCATGTAGTCACATTCACAATGTATTTTTGATGCTTTTTCGAGTCGTTTCGGTGTAAGGAAAATCCTCAATGAATTCGAAGCACTTCGACATCGAAAACTACTGGCGAGTATCTGGTTTGTCGAAATTGATACACAGAGTCTTTATTCAAGCAAGGCCACTTTGGATGTCTCAGTGTTTGGTATTTATATTCAATTAGTAGTGTATCAATTCACGAAAATTATTGGAAGCATATTTGTATTTGATACCGGTGAAAAGGGGAAGAACTTGTATACTTGTGTTACAATCATTACGTTTCTTTCACTGTGGTGGAATAAAGTTCATGAACACAAACGTGTTGTATTCATGTGGTTATTTTTGTTCGAGACAGAAAATGTTTTTCAGCCACCACTTCTTGAATTGGTTTCTCTGAGAGAAGGAGCCAAAGTCCTTTATTTGCCCACAACACATTTTTTTCAGAACGTCAAGCACGTCTGGTGAAAGATTTTCTTCTATCATAAAAATAGAGGATAAATGATTTCCCCAGCATTTTCGGGAATAGATTATTTTGAATTCGAAACTGTCCCTCGTGAATGTTTTCACCGGGGAAAGAAAGTGTTTAATCTATGTATACTGATTTTGTAGAGACGATTGGGATGACTGTGATATAGTGATATAGATGGCAGTTACACAAAATGGTGGTATTGTGTGCTACAATACGTTGTCTGTGTTGCTATAATTATGATTTAAGATATGGTTATCCATTATAGTTGTCTTTGAACTGCGCGTTCTGTGGTCGACATGCTATCAATGTAAAACCATACCCACTCACTGCATGCATTCCAGACACACTATAACATGTCCTCAAAGTTTAAAAGTTTGTGTTGTTGTATTGATGTGTACATGTAGACTTATCACGTACGAAAAAAAACAAAAAACTTGTGCACACTGAAACACAAAATCCTAAGTAATTGTCTTTCAAATAAGATGTGACCTTCGCTCAACTTGAACATAAATATAAATAAACATATATATTTACTGAAGAATATAATTCACAGAATCAGTCACAGAGCAAATTAGGAGAAAATACGTGAGGTTAATGAATTAACACCTTAATCGATGCCCTGCGTCATACACTAAAGGCCGAAGAAAAAGTGAACGCCTAAGGAATAATCCTGGGTTGAAAGGTGCGCCCTGCAGGACACCAGAAAACCTAAGTTGTGGATGACTATTCACTGGCTTCCTTTCCACCGTCACAGTTCCCGCGAGGTCTGTCGGGCGAAGATGTCTCTGACGTTGAGGCTTTTCGGATGTGTTACTATAGCTTTATTTGCTCTAGCATTTGGGGTTGCTGATGGGGCTGTTCCATGTGCGGATTGTGAATTTTTCTACATTGAGATATATTACCCAACTCAAGGAATGCCTGTGTATGCTCAACCAACATACAGCGCAGCGGGGCAACTGCTGTACAACTATGCGCCCAAATTATCCCCGATCCACGTATTTCAGGTAACTGCCTCTAACTTCGAACTTCAGATAGAATTAATTATATTCTGTTTACATTGTCAATGGTAAAGTTCGGATATAACGACGTGAAGGGGACACCTTCAAAAACGCATGGTAATGTTCTGAATTTATTATTCACGTTATGTATTTAGTCGATTTCCAAGTATCAGGGGCTTAACATTGATTTAACAGACCAATGGAAGTATTTTATTGTTTCCACGGAAGGAAACAGACATCGACGTCAAAATAAGGCGTCTCATGCTGTAGTTCTTATTTGTTTTAAGTAGGCATTCTTCAACAAAAGAACGAATACTGACCCACAGCAAAATCGACGAAAGGGCTGTGTACACGTTTTGGTGCTACAAAGTGTTTTACGTGCATATAATATTACATAGGCTAGTTCATAAGGGACTTTTCTGTGTAATGGTACTGACATTAACTATCATCAATACAAGAGGCCAATCATGTGTATTCGGTGTTTCCCAAATGTAAAAGCCACCACACATGCCCTTTGTTGGTAGGTTATTTATGAGAATATTCAACATCTTCGCCTCTCGGCAGATGTTTTTCAGGAAGATGGTTCACAATATGTTTGGGAAGGATATATTTGATCTGCTTCAACATGAAACACTTGTAATTTCTAAATATCGAGCGCCTACCTCATTAGTATTTGGTCAAGGGGTCTGCAGTTATGTGTGACGGTCAGCCCTAAATATGTTTCTGGGTTTGTCAGCGCTCCGACTTCGTGGGTTTCACCGAAATAGCACCAGTCTTAGACCTGCATCAATTCCACAGCGCCGTGATAAAAATGAAATTCTGTTCAAAGCGGCTTTACACCTAAATCAATCATTCTAAAACGACATATCAACTGCCGCAATGAACATCAATGATCACAGCTATGGTGTCTCTTAGACGTGTTCATGGAAAGAAATTAGTATCCCATTTTAAACATGGCCGCCATAAAAATATTGAAGTAAGTATTTGAATAAACTATAATGCGCTTTTGGAGAAATATTGAATCATTTTTGGCATTGTCGGCATCACCCCTGGCACTTCTGCATTGCCACTTATGCATGTACCATTCTAGAATTTAATTAACAAGCTGTTCTGTTATGTTAATGATGTGTTTCCCCCTCTTGCCCTGGTATCCCCTTTCTGCTCTAATAATACATATAATATATTACATAATATTTCAGGTGAGCTACAGAGAATTGATGCTTTATTGTTTAAACATGGTTGGCATATGTTGTTTTTTTCATTTGTACATTAGTTACATGTCTTAATTTCCAGATTAATCGATCTTCGTTGAAATACATCTTACAGGACACCATTGACAAAATTAAAGCGTAAAAACCCCATCAATTTCAAATTAATAAAATTATGTAGTACCTTTCATGAGCATTGAAAGATTGAAAAGGGTTTCTTACATGTAAACACATGCTCACGATATACATGTCTTATGGATATGGAAAGGGTGTTGTCGCTGTTATTTGATATGGCACTGCCTGCTATGTCTGTGAAAGATATTATGATCAGTCGTTTGACATCAGTATAATTATTTGTTAACTGTACTATTGGGTTTTTCAGAACATTTGTCTGGCACTTGGTAAATCGACAATGCTAAATATACTCAGTGTCATGATTGAAGGGTGAGCAAGGTATGTAGGATGTCAAACGTGAACATATGCTAACACAGGTCTGATTATGTGGACATTGCGATAAACAGTGGAAGAGCATGTTGTTTATGCCTATATCAGAGTGATTGGTCTCTTTCATGAAACGGGGGCACGGGTGGCCCAGTCGTCTAAGGCGCCGCGATTCGCTGTGCAGAGTTGCGTCCCTTGGGCACGCCAGAAACCTATGATTGTGGGTTCGAATCACGGTTCGCCCCAATTATGTTTCTAGGTTTGTCAGCACCATACCCGTGCTCGTGGGTTTCACCGAAGTGGTAAACGTCTGAAACCTGCATCACTTCGGGCTTTCCTCCCACATTAAGCTGACACGCCACGATATAACTGGAATACTGTTAAAAGCGGCGTTAAACCCAACTCACTCACTCACTCTTTCATGAAACTGGAATAGTGGTCAACAACTATTATGACAAGGAAACGTGCAAGATTGAAGGTGGCGGAAAAAGCTAGCCCAAATACACACCTGACCGCGACCAGTGGTTTAGCCCATGCATGTGCCGTACATGACAGGTAACAGTAAATGTGCCTATAAAAGTGGTTCATTCCAGATGCAACTGAACTGCACTCTTTGAAGTTGAAAATGCAACATTATTTTGATACTTTTTACCTCTAATTATCTGCACGACCCCCCAATAATGACATTGGGTATACACATCGCGTCAACACAGTCATTGATCTTTACATGGATTTTCGATCCACTATTGGTCGAGATATCAAGTAGTGTAAATGTTTATAAATTATTACTCACTTATTCCCATGGCATTTCAGATTGCAGGTCACCAGAAGATTGCAGCAAGTAAGTGCAATATTGTGTATCTCCCTTCACACGGTTGTATCGTGTAACTGCCATATGGTGTTAGCATTCACATGGTGACATACCTCCAAGAGCGCATTTAGGCAATAATGAAAACTATTCATACCCGTACATACATTCGTGACCAACTCGTGTTATTCCGGGACAAGCCGAATAGCGACTCGTGCCCCTCTCACAGCCATTTTTGCGACCGGGTTCCGTCTTAGCGCAAACGGGCATACCTAAAACAATTGTCAACTCGTTGCGTAATGGTTCACATATATTTCCCCATATATTATATATATTTCAGATGCAATTTAAAGCACATCTGGAAATGCGGAATTATACAGTATGATTGAACACATTTAACTGTGTCTTGGATATATTTTTAGATGCAAGCAATATGTAAAATCAAATATTATTTCTGAGGGATTCTTTGACGAAGAACTTGAAATCATACGCGCATTCTGATTGGTTTGTCGTATTTTCGCACATAACATTCATCGATAGGGGGACGAGTCTTCTTGCAGGTTACGGAAAGGGGCGAGTGGTGACGAATGCCGTACATAATCTCAGTCTACTTTGTGACAGAACAGCACCTGCAACGTGACCTTGATCTTCAGAATCTTCAGTTTTAAACTTCACATAACTTTAACAACATGATACGTGGATAGATGTATTCGCATATTCTTTTGGACAAAGTGTTAAAAGTCAAAGAGGCCATAACTTGCTTTTTTCAAAATGGCCATTTGTAATTGAAATTCAGTCTTGGATAAATGTTTTGGTATCGTGTTGACATATTTTAAAAAGAAAACAACCTGTTTTCGAAGATGCTGGGAAAATCACTTTTCACAGGTTTTACAAACAACATGACTGAAAATATTCCTGGAGTTGTGGATTCGGGATCGTTAAAAACAATGATACTACTCTGTTCTAGACAATGCTGGGGAAAATCATTTGGTCTCTAAAATTTGTTCACGGGGCATCCTGGATGTTCCAAAACATAATATTTTTTGGGGAAAGAATTGTGTGACCCGGAGACATAAATTACGTTTTGAAGATCGGGCTGAAAAGGAATCTATCTCAAACAAGAATCCCAGCCCTCCTCCACCAGAGTATTGAACGGTCCATCAACGTCAGTAGCCTTTGTCATATTTGACAAGCATTTTGTTATTCGGACCCCCTGAACGTGTTGATCTTACTCCAGCGTACCCATTCTACCATGGCCCTTACGGGAAAGTCAACGAAACCATTTCTTAACTTGTTTTTTATTCCCTTCAGTTGTCAAGGTGAAGAAGCCGGGCATACTCTCCAACCTCGTTGTGGAGATCACCAACCTCGGCATGGCAGTAGAAGCAATTGTTCTGTACTCATTTGAGGCGTTTTCGCTGTTTAACGGAGTACCACCACCCTTAGCCATCGCCCCCCTAAGGGCTCTACCCTGTGCCAGAGTGTATCACATGGAGGTCGAAGTCATTCCGCTAGGTAAAACTTACCATCATCTGCTCTCAAAATATATTTGAAATTAGAATATTTGAGTTACAGTAAACTACGACAAAACAAACAGTTCGTTATATCCGCCAGTTCGTTATAAGCGTGTTCGTTATAAACGTAGTTTACTGTACGTGTATGCAACGCTGTTCTACCATGTGATGACAAAAATAACTTGTTAATATGTTTGTAATAAGACGCTGCCATATCTTAGGGAAATAAACGCCTCCGTGGTGTAGAGGATGGAGTGTACGCCGGAGAGCAGAAGATCGCGAGCGGTGGTTCGAACCTTTGGCTGCGTCATACCAAAGACGTTAATAGATGGTACTTGATGCTAACCTGCCTGGCGCTCGGCATTTTGGGGATAAAACAAGGACTGGCCGGCTCAGATAACATGGGTATCCATATTTATTATAAACTGCGGCATGGTATCTCAGCTAGCTGGCACTATAGAACCGATTATAGTATAAGCAGCTCAACGACACATGTGTGCATGCACGTTACTATATGAGAGAAATAACGTCGAATGTGACGTTAAACCCCATTTCAAATCACCAGTAACCGTCTGTCGTCCCCGGAGTGAAATAGGATACAGTGGGACCTCGTTAACACGTCCAACACTAGCGGGGTACCAATATCAGACCTCTGCAGAATCTATTGGTGGCATGTACAGTTACATATTCTCCATGCAGGGTTGATTGGGTTCGCGTTAACGAGGTTTCGGTGACTATAACACCCATATGTCACCTGTGAGTATATGCAAAAGTATTCACATTTTAGGAACATGATTTGTTATATAAGTACATTAGCTGCTGTTAAAATGAGTTATGTAAGTGAGCCGAACTATAACGCCCTTTAACAAGTCTTTGCCACTTAGCGACGTGAACAAATGATCTATTTATGAAAAATACCATGAAGCTCATCAATGGTCATAGTGTGGGTACCCGGTAGGAATGAAAGCTGACAACATCAGCAGATTGTTTTAAGGTGGTTGCAATAGGAGCAATATAGTAAATCACAAACTTTGGTTACAAGGAAACGCTACACAATATCTATCATCGCTGAGGAACTTCACCGTTGAGATGCTGCGTCTAAGAAGAGTAGGCATCATCCTGGACATGTACAAGCACCTGGCAAGAATCCCTGCCACCGTGAGTAATGCTACACGTGTCAACCTAAGATAAACTGTTGGTTGGAACTGTATATGTTTTTTATCATAATCCCGAGTGATTGTATTTGGCTGACTTTACTATACCCATTCGCTCAGATTTCTCCATTAAAGAGCGTGGACACATTCGGGATAACCTCATGTTATCTTTATTAAAGTGAGCGGACGACAAGACCTGTCCGAATGTATATTATTATACCCCGATGGCTGTCTTTGTCTTTCAATCAGTTGGCTGTCCAGCCAAGATTCGTTTTGTTTGTTTGTTGTTTAACGCCAAACTCGGCAACATTTGAGCAATATGACGGCGGTCTGTAATAATCGAGTCTGGAACAGGCAATCCAGTGAGTGATATCACGAGCACTTATCTACGCAATTGGGATAGATGACAGTCAAGATTCGATTATAGACAGGCTGCCGTTACATAGCTGTGATATTGCTGACTACGGCGTAAAACAATATACACTCATTCTCTCGTCTCCACTCGCAGCTAATAACGACTGAATAGAAAATGGTACGAGGGGCGTTCAATAAGTTTTGCAACTTCAATATAAGACCAAGTCGCAGAATATCTTTTGCACTTTTATTTTTCAATAATTATAATCTCCATTCACCTCAATACACTTTGAGTAGTACAGTGGGGGCTGAGTCCGGGCTCGAACAGTTAAATCACCCTCCCTTCAGCCCAGACTTAGCCCCCAGTGACTATTTCCTGTTCCGGCAATCGAAATCTGCCCTACGTGGAAGACGCTTCCAGTATTGCGAGGACATAAAGGCTGCCTCAGAGGCGTGGTTAGAGGGCCAATCTGCGTATTTCTTTTAAAGTGGTATTAAAAGCTTGAAGGACAAATGGAATAAGTGTTTTGAGGTGAATGGAGATTATATTGAAAAATAAATGTGCAAAAGATATTCTGCGACTTGGTCTAATATTGAAGTTGCAAAACTTATTGAACGCTCCTCGTATATTAACTCGTAAATGATCGAGAAGCAGACATGTTTCTTTTTGTAATAATTCACACGCCTATGTCGTTAGTTCAGCGGCTGGTAAGAGTTGCATGTGCCTTTATAATGAGCATACTGAATGAGTAAAGCTCATGGTTATACCTATATAAAAAATGTTGCAATTCCATTGGTTAATCCGTATCACGTGATAAAACAAAACATTTCGATGTTGACCACGAAATCATGTGACTGTCTCTCGAATATTGACTCGTCACGTGATCAGTATGGACCTGTCACGTGATGAGTAACGCCCGCTAGAAATCAGGATGGCGTCTGGCACAAACATTTCACGGTTCGCAGCGAAGTTACTGTAATGGTACAAAGGGCGGTTTAAAGACTTCATAACTTTAAGTGAATCTCGGTATATAGGAATAATTACTCATGACTCATGACATATGGAGGCGGTCGGGTAGCCTAGTGGTTAAAGCGTTCGCTCGTTACGCCGAAGACCCGGTTTCGATTCCCGACATGGGTACAATGTGTGAAGCCCATTTCTGGTGTACCCCGCCGTCATATTGCTGGAATATTGTTAAAAGCGGCATAAAACCATACTCAATCACTCACTCACTCATGACATATGCGAAAACAAGACCGTCATACCCGTCCCCTACGACGGTCAGACCGCCTCAGGGTTCGGGTCCGAGGGTTCTTGTTTTGGCATATTGACCTCGTCAAGGGTGATTATTTGTATCATGTTGTATTTTCAGTTCATGATCCTCGGATGCGGAACGCCCACCTTCTTTGACCAGCTGACGTTCAGTTTTACCAGTCTGGCTAGTGACTACGGTGCCTTCTCAATCGGACGGGTCGACGCCTTGACCAAGTGGAATCCTCTCATTGGTGGCAAGGGAGGAAGTTGCTTCTGGGGTCAATCCGCTGCAGGTTTGTTCCCCGTTGGCAAGAAGAAGAAGAAGTAAGGTTCCTGAACCATCTACAACGACATGGTTCATGTTTGGATGTCTGTACCCGGATTGAACTTGAACTTCTGTTTCAGCGAAAACATCTAAAATTGATAAATGCCACCCAAACTATAATACGATACACAAATGAAGTGATCATTTGTATTGAAAAGTTAAAAAAACGGTTCAGTAGAAATATGTTTACCTGTTTAACGCCAATAAGTTTTCTGTATTTATATTTAATGTTTGTCGGGAAATTACTAAGTATATATGACACCGTTTCCCTCACAGTATTATTGAAAGTTGTTTTGGGGTGTTTCTGATCTTTATGGTACTATACAAGCAATAAAGTTCTACAGCTTATGTGATTTATGTCCATTTTAAAAGGTATTTTATACTGTGACATGTTTCTATTCATGTTGCGTTTATTACTTGTCATTGTATTGTTTATGCTGTGATATACAGTAGTGTTATAGAAAAGGCCTTCATTTTGTACTCAGTGAATTGGACCGCTAACAAACCGTTTCTAAACAGTCAAATAATAGCGATACTTCCCACAAGCAACTTATATTAACGCACATCAACAAGAGTCTTGTGTCAGTCAGAGTGTCTTCAATCAATGATATTTGTCGAGCGGCAAGAATAAGATATGGTTTTTCTTACTGCTTTATGAAATAGCATAATGCAATCTGATATTTTTCCTGTCTCTTGATCATGAGACACTAAAGAACATCACACATGAACAGATAATTTTGAAGAATTGAAAGGGCTGATGTATTAAAATATTATTTTGTGAATGTGTCAAAGCCTGATGATGGCAATAAACCCTTCCAACTTTGTTTCATTAACTCTTTTCATGTGTGAGGAAAGTCCTGCTGGATCATTGTCCAGGAAGACGATGTCGTGTTGCTGTATAGCTGGTGCTTCTGATCTGCAGAATGGTCATCTAGAACATAAACAGACGCTTGTCATTCCTTGCCCGAACTAACTGTTCATCCCAACAATACCACATGAGGCTCTGTGTAATTATTTTTCATCTCACGGTTTGGGTATAGAAGTGGAAGTTAAATAACTCTTAAAGCGGTGTTGCTTCAGTATTTAATTCTTCCGCTGAATGTCGATGCGCCAACCATTGTGCTTAGCATATAGACTAATAAAAATATAACTTTGGATGATGTGCGCACATATCTTTCAAAACAGATTTTCATTTTTATTTGTGGATATCTGTAATTTATGGAAGACTTTTAGAGCAATTTGCTTTTACATTTTTTTCTTGAAATGTTTTGGTTGAAATTTAAAGATGCGAGATTTGAAGATTCAACACTACTTGTTCACAGTTTACAAAAAGTTTGCAAAACATGTAAACTATATATATATCTTGAATTTCAAGATTATATCTTGAAATTTCAAGTTAATATCTAGCAATTTCAAGATCATCAACTTAGAATTTAAACTTACGTATTTTGCAATTTCAATTGTGTATCTTCAAATTTCAACAAGAAAAAAAAAGAAAAAAGCAAATGGCCCTGGAAGGCGAAGGTGATTGCGGACGCCAAATGTCTCGAAGACGAGCCATCATTTTTACTACAATCAAGGAAGGACTTTCTATATATTCACAGAAAGTAGTTGAGACAAATGGAATAAATACCATGTGAAAAGAACCAAGTTCAGATCTGTCACAACATTTGAGTTTTCAACTGTGTACGCCACCATCCCACATGGCAAGCATAAGGGAAAACCACAATCCTTGATCCACTGGACACAATCCATTGTTACAAAACCTGGTGACCAAATTGTCAAAAATGAAAGCAAGTGTCATCTGAAGTTTACTGAGAAAACAATATACGATAACATCTGTGTAAGGTTCGGGGTAAAGACATATTGGCAAGAAGTAGGCATCCCCATTGCCATCAATCGTATGGTGCTCCCCTTCTTGCTTCTTTTTCTTTATGTATATAAATCGGAATTTCTGCTCGGATTGGCAATGACAAAAGAAGGTCATTTGGCCAAGAAGTTAAGCTTCAGGTTATCGATGATCTGATGTCGTTCAATAACCATCAAATAGCTAATTCCCTTCTACTGATCTACCCACCTGAGACCAGTGAGACCGCCTCATCTGTTTCATAGTTTGATCTATGCATACAGATTCAGAGTCACAAAACACTCTCCACAGGACTGTATGACAAGAGGGGCGACTTCAACTTTCTAAAAGTCCACTTTCCCCTCTTGCATATGTCGGGCAATATTCCTGCAGCTCCAACCCTTGGTGTTAACATTTCACAACGTTTTAGGTGCTCATTCAGCCAAGATTTCAAAGAGCGTCATACGAATCATGCTCACAAGCTGTTTAATCCAGGTTACACTATTCAAGCCCTCATAAGTGCCATTCCTTATTTTGACTTGAAAATCATTATATATGTCCCTGTGTATTTTTTTTCTTTTCTTTTCTTTTTTTCTTTTTGGGGGAGGGGGGGTGTGTGTAATAATTGTCACCTTTTCGCGAACACCTGGTATCATCGCTATGTGAAAGTGATTCATAAACACATGCTCATGATTTAGTCGGAATCTTACAGTCGACTTTGCTTTTGATCATGACAGAGATTTCTTATGAATATGGAAAGGGTTTTGTGGCTTTTATTCATCTGAAAGTTTGCTTCAACTCCTCAGTTAAATGTTACTTCTTGTTTGCCTCAACAGCTATAATCAACCACTAAGAAAACACCATATCAAAATAGATGGTTGTAGTATATTTGCTAAGGACAACTTTTCAATCTGTCAACTTGACCTTCGTAAACACTGGTGCTACCGACTGACCATGGCAACCATCTCGCGAACACGCGGCGTTATAATTACTGTACAGTGATTCATGAGTCTAGGTTTTCAAATGCTTCACGTCACTTATTTGTCCCTCTTCCCGTGACAGATACTTGTGAGTACCTTCAGGCGTTGACGCAATGTAGATACTATTTTAAGAACAGCACATGGTGATTAGGGGTTAACGTAAGGAGAGCGATTACGCAATTCGGTACATAAGTATTTTAGAGGTTTTTGCTTGGGCATGTTCACACCTAAATCCCCCACTTCCTGTCCTGATGGGGATCATCAGTCAAGTGTGGCAAGAGATTTGGACAGTCGGCTTTCCTTGCAGTTGAACAGCTTAGCAAAGGCCTCGGGCATTTCAATATTTTTTATTGAATTATTTTTTTAAACACAGCTATGTTCACAAGCCTTCCAATTATACGAATGATAAATAGTGAAACATCATAGGCATAACAGCTGAATAAAGTAATTTCAAATTATATAAAAATAAATATGCTTTAAAAATTTCAAAAGGGGTTAACACTATTCGTAGATTCAAAGCTTATATTCAAATTACAAATATTTATTCCTCAATCATAACTTTCCGATTCTCAATTAAATGAAAACACACACACATATATATATATATATATATATATATATATATATATATATATATATATATATATATTCATGTTCGTATTAATCAACCACAAAAAGGAGAGACACTTTAAGTTTGACTAAACTTTCGTGTAACACGCTTCACATATATCCCCAGGACGTAGTTTGCAGTGTGGTACAGTTTACCCTGTAGGCTTTTGATTAGGGGTCAATGCCCGTACTGCCGTACTGACAGAACGTGACTTTTTGAACTCCTTGTGCCTGTAAGCGTCTCATGAATTATTATGACGTAAACGTGATCTACCAGTCCGTCACTGGTCGAAATAGTCTGGCTATATTGACAAGTCAAAAATGACACGTGAATATCTTGAAAATAAATAAACAACACAATATTGATACAATAAAAGATAACAGATTTGTATCCTCTGTATATTGCGTTTATTTTTAACACGTTGAATCCAGCATTAAGTAAACCATTAATACTGGATATATTTATATTAAAGATAATTTACGACATAATGCCCAATGTGAATTATTTTTTTAAGACGCTCAAATTATGAGTGACAGAAAATTTATTTTGAGTTTTCTTTGATAACAAGCCTCACTGACAGAAATGTTCAATATGTCGGTTTGCCATGATTTGACGTCATGTTGCTAGGGGCTAGTTCGCAACCAATCAAATCAAAGGATCGATTTTTTTGGCTTGAGTTACCCAATCAGTGTGGCGCAAAAGTACTCTTTCTCCAGCCTGGTTCGAATTCCCTTGGTATGCTGTGCTGGCGCTACACTGACCCAGGCAATGACTGCGCAATGGCCGCCTCCACCAGACGAACAAACATGGCGGACACGACACATATTTAGTATAGAAAAACGCTAGAACGGGTGCTTAAAATTTATTCTTAGCATTTTCATGAACGCTCGTGCAATGTATATGTCACGAGAATAACGTCCATTGTTACTTTTAGTGAAGGAAAACATTATTTAAGCTGTTTCGAGACTCGAAAGTGGTCGTCATATTGGTGAAATGTAAACAATGACACACACCCCATTTTCAACAGTGATATGTGCGTTGATTATTCGTGTCAGCTCACTGTTGTCACGAAATCGTATACATAATACATGGAATTAAACGACCACATCAATGAAATACCGTTAGCATCTTTATTTTAGCAAATTTGATGAAGCAAATGTAACCACCCGTTCTAGCGTTTTTCTATAGTAAATACATGTCGTGTCCGCTATGTTTATTCGTCTAGTGGAAGCGGCCATTGTGCAGTCATTGCCTGGGTCAGTGTAGCGCCAGCGCAGCATACCCAGGGAACCAGGCTGCTATTTCTCGTGGTTGAAAGGAAAGTATGTTTGCCTATTTCCATGTCCCTTTGGGTCATTCCCTTATATTATATGAAGCGCTGACAATTCTATTTGGAGTTATTGAGTTTGTGTGTATTGATACGTCTATATACGTGTATTGATTTTTCTTATAATAAGAGTGACATAGATTAGATATTGAATCTGAATCTTTTTGAATAGCATGCGTTGATACGGCTCTTTTGGATATTGCAGAAACACAACTTTTTGTTTGTTTGATTGTTTTTAACGCAATAAGGAATATTCCAGCGGTGATCTGTAAATAATCGAATCTGGGGCGGACAATCCAGTGACTGGCATCATGGGCATTGATCTACTCAATTTGTATACGATGACATGCATCAACCAAATCAACGAGCCTGGCCACTCGAACCCGTCAGTCGCCTCTTACGATACGTCCGGGTTAATGAAGACCTATTCTAACCCGGTTAGACAAGGGTGTTAGGTAAATGCACTTTAAATTTAAAAAATGAAAGAAAATAATTCCGGAAATAATTTATGTAGCTTGGTGGTTAAAGCATTAGCTTATTATGTCGGAGACTCCCCATTTATCCCATCATTTTCATAATGTGTAAATCCAATATGCGTGTGTGGGTACTTCAGGGAAGTCGTCAAAAAGTCAATGAAAAGACAGAACCTTCACTGTGATGCTTTATTTACAAATGAATATACAATAATCTACAGTCTGCTGTTGTCCGTGTACCACGGTGACAATGTCAGATCAAAGAACATGCTAATGTACAAGGAACAAAATATGTCGGAAATTGGGATGCAAATAACCGTGTGTTGAACATTTCAAAACGTGTGTGCAAAGTTGAAATATTCTACGTTATGTACTTATTTATTTACGATGAATGAAGTAATATAACAGGGCGGTACACTTATGTCTTTCCTTATGAATTATTAATTACATTTTACCAGGTATATTGTGATGCTTCTGGCCTTCCCTTGACTATTGACATGCAATACACGACTAAACTACAGAAAAATCGATTTGGACTCCGCATTTGGGGACTGTTTCGCGTGCAACGGAAGAATCCATTTCAATTGAACAGGAGACACGTGGGGTTCATGCTTACTCATCACGTGGAGTTGACACATACCTTAGCTGTTCATAATCGACTGGCTCACCAGCAAACCTTCCACCCCTGCTATTGTTATATAGCGAGTGTCAGCTTAATGTGTGAGGAAAGTGATTCAGGTCTTAGACACATTGGTGAAACCAGGAGCACGGGTATAGTACTGACCATCCTAGACATATAATCAGGGCGAACGGGGCTGGAACCTACGATCAGAGGTCCCAAGGGACGCAACTCTGCACAGCGAATTGCGGCGTCTTATTCTACTTGGCCACCGGGGTCCTCTGTTGCTATCGACCGCGTGGAAGATATAGATCCGCGGGTTCAATTGTCGAGTCGTGTTTTTTCTTAAGTATGTTTAGCAAAACGTTTTGCATAGACTGATGTAAATTCCAATAAAAGTGTCGGTTTGAACCACATGTTCCCGTTCCTTGGCAATCGTTTCTATATACGTACCAGTATTTCAACAAACGTAAAGATTGCATTGATGCCAAATGTTCCAACACGAAGCCAAGATTACTACCTCCTGCGCTTGTTTTTCATTTTTTCATTTTTTTCCCGTTTCAACTTGGCCCAGTTATGTCTCCTCTCAATGAACAAGGCTAGCATGCACACGGAGACAAACATGCCTATCCCAATGCCTATCCCCATGGCGATTCGGGCTGGATAACCTGAAATACGCAAAATACGGAAATAGAGTAATGTGTTCAGACAAAGAGAAATGAATTTTGGATTAATTATATCAAAGTGAACCACGAGAATACACCACTAAGAATGTGAGTTTCATGTGACGTGAGCTGGGATTTTACGAGGTGAATGTTATTTTATGACACCGAAGGTGGAGGGATGTATACAAATGTGTAGCTGGTAACATTCCGTCCATCCCGCTCGTGTTACATGTAACGATGTTATCATTACGAGTCCACGAGTTACAGCATTAATTTCTAGGAATTATTTGTGTGTGGGTGAGTGAGTGAGTTGGGTTATATCACGGCCTGTCAGCTTAATGTGGGAGGAAAGCCCGAAGTGATGCAGGTCTCAGATGTTTACCACTTCGGTGAAACCCACGAGCACGGGTATGGTGCTGACAAACCTAGAAACATAATCGGGGCGAACCGTGATTCGAACCCACAATCATAGGTTTCTAGCGTGCCCAAGGGACGCAACTCTGCACAACGAATCGCGGCGCCTTAGACGACTGGGCCATCCGTGGCCCCATTTGTGTGTGACAGGTTACATCAATCTTGTGATTGCCATCGGACTTTCACTTTTTGTTTGCATCTTTGTTGTTGAACGCATCACTCAGCAATATTCTAGTTATATGAGGGAGGTTTTTGAATAATCGAGTCTGGATCGGACAATCCAGTGATTGACATCACGCAACCATGTCAGCGAACCTTACCGCCAGATCCCGTTAGTCGGCTCTTACGACAAGCATTGTTTACTGTTTACGACAAGCATTTACGACAAGCACTGTCGCTTCTTACGACAAGCATTGTTGCCTCCTACAAGCACTGTCGCCTCTTACAAGCACTGTCGCCTCCTACAAGCACTGTCGCCTCCTACAAGCACTGTCGCCTCTTACAAGTATTGTTGCCTCCTACAAGCACTGTCGCCTCTTACAAGCACTGTCGCCTCTTACAAGCACTGTCGCCTCTTACAAGCACTGTCGCCTCTTACAAGTATTGTTGCCTCCTACAAGCACTGTCGCCTCTTACAAGCACTGTCGCCTCTTACAAGCACTGTCGCCTCTTACAAGCACTGTCGCCTCTTACAAGTATTGTTGTCTCTTACAAGTATTGTTGTCTCTTACAAGCCCTGTCGCCTCTTACAAGCACTGTCGCCTCTTACAAGCACTGTCGCCTCTTACAAGTATTGTTGTCTCTTACAAGCACTGTCGCCTCCTACAAGCACTGTCGCCTCTTACAAGTATTGTTGTCTCTTACAAGCACTGTCGCCTCTTTCAAGCACTGTCGCCTCTTACAAGTATTGTTGTCTCTTACAAGCACTGTCGCCTCTTACAAGCACTGTCGCCTCTTACAAGTATTGTTGTCTCTTACAAGCACTGTCGCCTCTTACAAGTATTGTTGCCTCTTACAAGCACTGTCGCCTCTTACAAGTATTGTTGTCTCTTACAAGCATTGTCGCCTCTTACAAGCACTGTCGCTTCTGACGACAAGCATTGTTGTCTCTTACAAGCACTGTCGCCTCTTACGACAAGCATTGTCGCCTCTTACGACAAGCATTGTAGCCTCTTACAAGCACTGTCGCCTCTTACAAGCATTGTTGTCTCTTACAAGCATTGTTGTCTTTTACAAGCACTGTCGCCTCTGACGATAAGCACTGTCGCCTCTTACAAGCACTGTCGCCTCTTACAAGTATTGTTGTCTCTTACAAGCACTGTCGCCTCTTGCAAGTATTGTTGTCTCTTACAAGCACTGTCGCCTCTTACAAGCATTGTCGCCTCTTACAAGTATTGTTGTCTCTTACAAGCACTGTCGCCTCTTACAAGCACTGTCGCCTCTTACAAGCACTGTCGCCTCTTACAAGTATTGTTGTCTCTTACAAGCACTGTCGCCTCTTACAAGCACTGTCGCCTCTTACAAGTATTGTTGTCTCTTACAAGCACTGTCGCCTCTTACAAGTATTGTTGTCTCTTACAAGCACTGTCGCCTCTTACAAGTATTGTTGCCTCTTACAAGCACTGTCGCCTCTTACAAGTATTGTTGTCTCTTACAAGCACTGTCGCCTCTTACAAGTATTGTTGCCTCTTACAAGCACTGTCGCCTCTTACAAGCACTGTCGCCTCTTACAAGCACTGTCGCCTCTTACAAGTATTGTTGTCTCTTACAAGCACTGTCGCCTCTTACAAGCACTGTCGCCTTTTATAAGTATTGTTGTCTCTTACAAGCACTGTCGCCTCTTACAAGTATTGTTGCCTCTTACAAGCACTGTCGCCTCTTACAAGTATTGTTGTCTCTTACAAGCATTGTCGCCTCTTACAAGCACTGTCGCTTCTGACGACAAGCATTGTTGTCTCTTACAAGCACTGTCGCCTCTTACGACAAGCATTGTCGCCTCTTACGACAAGCATTGTAGCCTCTTACAAGCACTGTCGCCTCTTACAAGTATTGTTGCCTCTTACAAGCACTGTCGCCTCTTACAAGTATTGTTGTCTCTTACAAGCATTGTTGTCTCTTACAAGCACTGTCGCCTCTTACGACAAGCATTGTCGCCTCTTACGACAAGCATTGTAGCCTCTTACAAGCACTGTCGCCTCTTACAAGTATTGTTGTCTCTTACAAGCATTGTTGTCTCTTACAAGCATTGTTGTCTTTTACAAGCACTGTCGCCTCTGACGATAAGCATTGTCGCCTCTTACAAGCACTGTCGCCTCTTACAAGCACTGTCGCCTCTTACAAGCACTGTCGCCTCTTACGACAAGCATTGTTGTCTCTTACAAGCACTGTCACCTCTTACGACAAGCACTGTTGCCTCTTACAAGCACTGTGGCCTCCGACGACAAGCATTGTTGCCTCTTAGAAGCACTGTCGCCTCTGACGACAAGCATTGTTGTCTCTTACAAGCACTGTGGCCTCCGACGACAAGCATTGTTGCCTCTTAGAAGCACTGTCGCCTCTGACGACAAGCATTGTTGCCTCTTACAAGCATTGTCGCCTCTGACGACAAGCATTATCTCGAAGTGTGACCAGCGCCAATTGTGACGTAACAAGAAACGAAGTTACATCAAACATTATGACGTCATGATGGCTTACCGCGTTTGATTTATTATCACAAGACGACATCTGACATCAGGAACCTAGAACATGTTAACTAGTAATATCAATCCGCTTTACATGACGAACTGAAAAGACATGGGACACATAACGGTTGAGGTGAGGTCAGAAACATTTAAAATATTGTGTGTGAAATGTCTTACTCATTGATATACCACCACATCCATCCTCGTCGCAACCTCCGTCAGCGCAGCCGCAGTCGAAATATCCATCACAGCGGTAGGACATGCTAATGCATTCTTTGTTTGAACAGCGGTACTCGTGACTTCGACAATCTGCAAAGACAGGTACAAGAAACAAATAGCTAATATAGGATGCAATTTCGAGCATGTTTACTGTGATGAAAGGATATAATCTTGCAAACATTGAACCAGTACATGGCAAGCTGATATACAGAAAACCATTGGTAGCAGTATTGAGTGTCGTGTGTTCGAGTCTGGGTTAGACAAACCATTACTTGATATCATGAAAAGGTGAGATGAGTGAAATGGGGGTTACGTCGCGTCCAAGATAATTGTACTTATGTATGTCTCTGCTTGAAGGGGCGGTCGGGTAGCCTAGTGGTTAAAGCGTTCGCTCGTCACGCCGAAGACCCGGGCTCGATTCCCGACATGGATACAATGTGTGAAGCCCATTTCTGGTGTCCCCCGCCGGGATATTGCTGGAATTATGCTAAAAGCGGCGTTAAATCAAACTCACTCACTCTGCTTGAACTAGTCCGGACTAATGCTGATTGTTTAGTGCTAGCCTACTGAGATACCATGCTACAATTTAACATGAATACCCAACTCAGACACAGTATACTGACTCCGAGCCGACCACGCCTTGTTCTTTCCACTTAATGCCGTGCGCCAGGGTAACAACAAGTAGCATTTTTCAACGTCGTTTGACGCTGCCGGGGATCGAACCCCAGACCTTCCGCTCTCCGAGCGGACGCTCTACCTCTAGACCACGGATAACGTCATAATGTCATGATCACATGCGAACAGATTCTTCTGTTATAATGCTAAGTAAATAGGGACTTTATAATTGTGAAACGTCACTTTCAGTCACAACGTAATGTGATGAGTAACTTTCATTTATAACATCTTGCGAATAGTGACATTCTTTAATAACGTGACGAAAAAGGTGGCTTTATCATACCGCTTACAAAATCATTTACATGTCTGTGTCCACTTCGTTCCTCCCTTTGACTGTAACGCGGCATAATCAAATTCCGTTAAAATGATATTTAGATTTGTATATGCGACAAGATTAAATCATGGTCGAGAGTTACAGGGCTATAGTCTTCTGTTGGAATATGGTAACTGTTATACCGATAAGCTATTAAACACACAAAAGGCATCAACTTACAACTAATACATTCATCAAAGGAATGCACTGTGTTTAATGGATGTATTCATGATATGACATTATCAAGGAATGCACAATACATACCAGGTATCGGGGATGATATGTTGTTTATGACGGATCCTGTGGAAAAACAAGCTTCTAATGTAAAGCATTTGTATAACGAAAGCTGAAATAACAATATCATAACGTTAGGTATAACGGTATAACATTTATATTTATACATTTGTATGACGGTGTGTCAGATTTTTATACAAGACAAACGTAAGACCGCAAGGCGGCATTGTTATTTTTCAGTTTACAAATCCGATTGAGCGGATTGAACCAAAAGCCCAATCAAAAGATATAAACAACAACATCTGTGTCTTTTGGATGAGAAAGACAACGATGCGTAGATAAAAAAATACAAAACTAAAGTAACTGATGTTTGTTTAACGCTCAAATGCATTTGAATATGTTCTCTCACCACTGAAATCCTCTTGTAAAATGAGAACAGAGCTTTCTCAGGTGTAAATACATATACATGTTACTGAAACAGTACTTTAACATGTTTGTTGGTTGTTGTTTAACGCCGCACTCAGCAATATTCAAGCTATATGACGGCGGTCTGTAAATAATCGAATCTGGACCAGACAATCCTGTGACTGACAACATGAACATCGATCTATGCAATCGGGATACGATGACATGCATCAACCAAGTCAGCGAGCCTGACCACCCGATCCCGTTAGTCGCTTTTTACGGCAAGCATGGGTTGCCGAAGACCTATTCTACCCCGGATCTTCACGGATCGTACTTTAGATGTATAAGCGTCGTCCCTCCTAAACTGACCGACCATGACAGCTACGTGCATGTGGAGCTTCGCACTTCGTAGACATGTGGAGGACATTTTGACGCATCAGTCTGGTCGATACAATTCTTTATTTTGACTTGTACCGTATGTTCCCGTATTTTTCAGGTTTACTTGCCTTTGCATGTGTTTGTGACAGGTGCCACCGGTGGGGCAGGATGCACTCGCCTTTTCGCGAACCCCTGTCATCATCACTATTTGATAGTGATTCATAAACTCATGCTTATGATATAGTCGGAATCGTACACTCGACTATGAAAATGGGTTTTGTCGTTTTAATTTTATTCGGAGTTATCAAACCTAATTAAAAATCTGTAAACGACAAAATACAAATAATCGAGCCTAAAAGTTTACAAGCATTGTGAGTATTGTTTTGACAGATCAAGGGTCATAATCGGGTAGAATCTAGGATTTGAACACATGACTAGTGGATACGGGTATTCACACAGGGAATGGAGGTACAGTTAACTACGGTTATAACGAACACGCTTATTACGAGCTGACGGATATAACGAACTTACTTTTTTGGTCCCGACTATTTGTTGTAGTTATGCTGTATATATGCTTATAACGAACTACGGTTATAACGAACTAAAATTAGCAGGCCCCTTAAGTTCGTTTTAACCGTAGTTTACTGTACCTTGAAATATAGAGAAGCCAGAGACTGTTATGTCATTTACCCTTACATGCCTAAAACTGTCAGATTTCCTTCAACACTAATTAACATGGAATGGTACGCTACATACAGTGTATTTGCATTTTACCTCTAAAATAATAGTAAGGGTGTCTCACTTTATTGATAATCATGTAGAAGTGAGTGAGGCATTATTGATTTACGCCGCTTTTGGCAATATTCCAGCATGATCACGGAGGGGGACACCAGAAATGGGCTTCACACATTGTACCAATGGTCTTCGGCATGACAAACAGGCAACTTGGCTACCCCAGCACCCCATGTTTAAGGTACGGGGGTCATTCATCTTCAGCACGGCTGAGCGTGTGACCTAAGTTTGTCGCGGGGAATACTGAGCTGGCCGATCATGAGTTTCAGCATCACGCCACCACATATGCTATTCTCTGTGTAGTATCTAGCGCCCAATTTGTACTATGTTTGTGTACTGACTTTGTTGAACATACAAAAGGACTAACATTTTAGAGCCTTAAATATCAGTAGTGTGACTATATTTATACAGATGTGCCTTTGTGTTTTCAATAAAATATTTTGATAGTTTCCTAATTAACTCACCACCAGAACGGAATCACGCTCTCCTACATTGGAAATTCGCATGACGTTTTCAGAGATGTTATCCATACCGTGAATGGCTATGTCATACATATTTCGTCCATGTTTGTATGTACAACAGTTCAAGATATCTACTGAAGTTTTCTTCGATCTTCTGCGTTTCCTAATTGTTCGGCATGTTTGTATAGGGTAATTGCTATGTATAAAAACGTATTGAAACTTGCAATCTTGTCTTGACAACTATCACTTTGTCGGACAAAATGGCTTATCCTGTTACAGCGTCATTCCGAAATATATGATTTGTCATGTTCTTTGATTGACAGGAGTACTAGATAGCAAAGTTCAGGTATTTACATACGGCTCTGCTCCACTGTCTAGTGCCCTTTCCTAGTTGTAATTTGTGATATATGCACCATAGACATTACCACTGTGTAAGTTTGGCAATCACTTCTGCAAGATTAGTCTACACGATAAGAGTGAGTGAGTGAGTCTAGTTTAACGCCGCTTTTAACAGTATTCCAGTTATATCGCGGCGTGTCAGCTATAATGTGGGAGAAAAGCCCGAGGTGATGCAGGTCTCAGACGTTTACCACTTCGGTGAAACCCACGAGCACGTGTATGGTCCTGACAAACCTAGAAACATAATCGGGGCGAACCCGGATTCGAACCCACAATCATAGGTTTCTGGCGTGCCCAAGGGACGCAACTCTGCACAGCGAATCGCGGCGCCTTAGACGACTGGGCCACCCGTGCCCCCCTACACGATAAGAAATAATGTAGCCGATGATTTTGAATGACTGAAATCACGGGTGCAAGGAGAGCCATTTGGCCTGACCCTATGCTGTCTGTGATGATCACCATAACACCCCGTACTCATCACTTGATCTCCTTCTTGTAGGGGCGGTCGGGTAGCCTAGTGGTTAAAGCGTTCGCTCGTCACGCAGAAGACTCGGTTTCGATTCCCGACATGGGTACAATGTGTGAAGCCCATTTCTGGTGTCCCCCGCCGTGATATTGCTGGAATATTGCTAAAAGCGGCGTTAAACCAAACTCACTCACTCACTCTTCTTGTAATTATGGTGTATTTCATTCAATGGCTGTACCTGCGTATATCTGTGAATACGTGGCTTGAAGTCCCTGGGCCGCAACGCTCCCGTCGCTGTAGAACAGTATCCGCAGCCATCTGGCAGTGGAAGTCACGTTGTGTGCCGCCAGAGTACCACAGGATGAGAACAGGACGTCGGACGTTGCGCTGCCATCGCGGATCTGTAATAAGACAGGTGACTATGTTAAGAAGAACCGCTTGGGGTGAGTGAGTGAGTTGGGTTTAACGCCTCTTTGAACAGTATCACGGCGTGTTGATGAGGGAAGAAAGCCCGAAATGATGCATCCTCCTACGAGCATGCATGGGTATGGTGCTGAAAAACTTAGAAACATCATTGCGGCGAACCGGGAACCCACGGTCATAGGTTTCTGTCGTACCCAGGGGACGCAACTCTGCACAGCGAATTGCTGCGCTTTAGACGAATGAACCGCTTTGAACTGTATACATCTCTACGGTGACCATGGATCCTTGTACGCCTTCTGCAATAGGTCTTGAGCAACCCATACTTGCCGTAAAAGGCGACTATGCTTGTCGTAAGAGGCGACTAACAGGATCGGGTGGTCAGGCTCTCTGACTTGATTGATGCCTGTCATCGATCCCATTTGCATGGATTGATGCTCATGATATCTATCACTGGATTGTCTGGTCTAGAATTGATTATTTACTGGAAGCTGGAATATTGTTCAGTGCGACGTTAAACAAACAAACAAACAAAACATTGCTTCAGCTATATGTATGTAATAGTTCTGCCTGCAGTGTCAAGGAACACTTTTTCATTCATCAACCCAGTAGGTGATGCTTACCTCGATGTAGTCATTGCAGACTGCCCCTTCCTGTTGACCCTGGAAGTTGATAGTGAGCAGCACCTGGTACTCCGTGCTTGCCTCGAACGTCCAGATGCACCGGGTAAAGTTAGGGTAGGCGTTGGGGTAATTGGGGGAGGCGATCACCCCAGACGCTTGCCCATGTATAACAATATACCCTCCACAATCTGTAATGGTTACAGAGAAATATATCAGGGTAAAGAATCCGGATGATTAAATATCTGCTAAAGGAACCAATATTTATCCTCCAAAACAGGCTTCCATAGAAGATATCGCTTGGTTGAGATCAAGCGATATCTACGCGGAGATATCCATACAATGAAACTGCCTCACAGTACGTTTCGGACTATTGTGACGTCATTGTTATTTTGATGCCACGTTTAAATGACATCACTACTCTCCCATACAGAAGTTAGTTAGCCATTTAATCTCAAGACACTGTTTGTTTGTTTGTTGTTTAACGCCGCACTCAGCAATATATAAGCTATATGACGGCGGTCTGTAAAAAATCGAGTCTGGACCAGACAAGCCAGTGATTGACAGCATGAGCATCGATCCACGCAATTGGGATCGATGACATGCATCAACCAAGTCAGCGAGCCTGACCACCCGATCCCGTTAGTCGCCTTTTACGACAAGCATAGTCGCCATTTACGGCACGCCTGGGTTGCTGAAGACCTATTCTACCCCGGAATCTTCACGGGTCTTTCAAGACACTGATAACAAGACATTGAGGAGAAACTGAAAACGCTGTAAGGATAATTCTGGATGATATATAGAAGCCCACCCTTGTGTCTCCCAAGCTCAAATAACATCAAGTCTGGTATACTGTTATCGACCTGTGAAGATCCGGGTTAGAATAGGTCTTCAGCAACCCATGTCGGTCAAAGCACTTGGAATCTCGTTAGAGTTTGGCTGCTAGATGTGGTTTGAAACTTTGTGCATGTAATGTTTGTTTTGCTATGTACAGGGGACATCCTCGTTGTGCGAGGGAACTTACTTGTTGAGGAGGTGCACTGTATGCATACAAGCAGGAGGAGAACTGCATCTGGAACAACACATGAGAAGATGATAGTTTTATCATTACACGCACAAGAGTGAGTGAGTGAGTATGGTTTTACGCTGCTTTTAGCAATATTCCAGCAACATCACGGCGGGGGACACCAGAAATGGGCTTCACACATTGTACCCATGTCGGGAATCGAACCCGGGTCTTCAGCGTGACGAGCGAACGCTTTAACCACAAGGCTACCCGACCGCCCTTCACGCACAAGAATCATAATAAGTGCCCACAATCAACGATTTCTGGTAAGGGTCGCACCCCTGCACAGCGAACTGTATCGTCTTAAACCACTGGGCCACCCAAGCCATGTAACAAAAAGTCAGTTACCGTTTATCAACACTCCCTCAGTTATGGAACACATCCTGTAATGTTGGTTTGACAAAAATAAAATAGTTTTAAACGGACAAAAAATCTTTAAATTAATAACAGTCCCATAATCTAGGTTAGGGAAAGATGTTGTTTTGTACAGCTGTTATAAACCTCCAGTGAGTCATCCTATTGTTCTCTAGCGGGTTAAATCTCATAAACAGGGACGCTGTAATGTCCCTGGGATTTTATATAATATCCCTGGGATTTTATAGGATATTCAAGTCATATTTGCTATATAATGTGTTATAATATCCGATGGATTTTATATAATGCCCGTGGTATTTTATTTATACAACTTCGGTTCAGATTGTAACTTGTAATGAAATGTAAAATCAAATGACAAATATTATCTTTATATTCCCGAGGATCAAACAGGCAACCTTCGTATCTGTAGCCCAGTGAGTGTACAACAAGGCTACAGATAAATCACAATGTTTTGAGGATGTCCTTTTCAAGATCCGTATGCCAGCAACAGATATTTTACGCCCGTTTCCCTAATGTTCATGGAAAGTATGTTCGAAACATAAAAATGTTGATAAATGTTGATTTAAGTTTCTTTTATTCGGTTCATAAGTTAGATAAAACACGTCCCCTCGGGTTGTTAGTGATATTTAAAACCCTTTCCCTCGGGATGCAGGTTTTAAATATCATAACAACCCTCGGACGTGTTTTATCCTATACATAATATTCTAGTCCTATCATGGCGACATGTGAATAATCGTGATTCCAACAAGGTGAATGTTTGAATACTGGACCCTGCCGTCGTGGTACGTTGATACACCCCTGACACAATATAACCCCTGATACTCCTCGAAATGGACTTTTAATCAAGGGGGGGGTACCTGTTCTCTACCAGGATTCTTACAGTGTTTGGTAGTCACGTTGCTCTGTAAAACGAAACTGTTTGAAGTACCGTAAAATCCCCCTAATCACTATTTTTCCATTAGGATAGTTTAAGAGAACCTCTCACACAATGCACGCGGGCAAGTTTTTTGCAATAACGGATTGCTCCGTACTGGGGGGTGTACAGCACCACGTCCTGCTGACTTGTCGATGACTCATGGAAAACACAGAGCCATGCTGCTTCTGACGGTTATTGATTTTGCGATGGAACCAGTCACAATAATTGTATTACCTGTGGTCAACAAACAATGGACAATTTGTGTATCGAATATTGTGTTTATCTAAAACATCAAGCGTGTTATAACTCAAATATAATGGTGTTTACCAGGCGGCTTTTCGAGGCTAATTATGTTTGTATTTGTTGTTTAACGCCGCTCTCGGCAGTTTTCGGACAATAAGACGGCGGCCTGTAAATAATCGAAAGATGCTGTGTGTTTGTTTGCGTGTTGTTTAACGCCTCACTTAGCAATATTCCAGCTATATGTAAATGTAAATAATCGAGTCTGGGTCAGATAATCCAGTGATTGACCTTATAAGCCTCGATCCACGCAATTGGGATACGATGACATGCATCAACCAAGTCAGCCTGACCACCCGATCCCGTTAGTCGTCTCTTACGACAAGCATAGTCGCCTGTTACGGTAAGAATGGGTTGCTAAAGGTCTCTCCTACCCCGGATCTTCACGGGTAGAAAGATATTGTGAACACGATAGGTCCAATGAAACGCAATCAACCACCTCATCCAGCATGACCACCCGATCCATTTATTCGCCTCTAACCAGCACTGGTTATTGGGGACCTATTCTAACCCGGATTCCTCAGTTTTGTGACGCGACGTCAGGATCATGGATAGCGTCCCTTAGCCATGCCAGGATCCGCTATCGTTGGTTCGAATCCCAGATTATGATCATCACTCCCATGTTCGTTTGTGTCATCAAGGAGTTAGAAGTCTCCCACCCGAGTAACATTGGGCGTTCCCCTCGCATACATCTGAGACCCAACAATAACGGAAATAGTGTGCACAATCACCATCCCCTTAGTGAGTGAGTGAGTTTGGTTTAACACCGCTTTTAACAGTATTCCAGTTATATCGCGGCGTGTCAGCTTAATGTGGGAGGAAAGCCCGAAGTGATGCAGGTCTCAGACATTTACCACTTCGGTGAAACCCACGAGCACGGCTATGGTGCTGACAAACCTAGAAACATAATCGGGGCAAACCGGGATTCGAACCCACAATCATAGGTTTCTGGCGTGCCCAATGGACGCAACTCTGCACAGCGAATCGCGACGCCTTAGACGACTGGGCCACCCGTGCCCCCATCCCCTTAAACCCATGAAACGGCAATGATCAATATAAACAATGAGTAATAACAGAGGCTGCGATTCAGTAATCAATATGTTAATTTATTGGAATCAACTATTCTTAATCACGGCGTGTCAGCTTAATGTAAGAGGAAAGCCCGAAGTAATGGGGGTCTCCGATTTTTACCACTTTGCTGAAACCCACGAACATGGGTATTGTCCTGACAAACCTAGAAACATAATCGGGGCGAACCGGGATTCGAATCCGCAATTATAGATTCCTGGCGTACCTAAGGGACGCAACACTGTGTCTCTTAGGTACCCCGTGCCCCCTCCATGGGTATAAAGAACATGGAATGTTTTGTAGATTAGAAGAAAGAAGATTAAGTTGCTAACAGACGGATGGACAGAGACAAAAAACACAATCTCTCATTGACGCTGTCAAGGTGAGCTAATAGTGATTTTACTGTTCCCAACAACACGTGACCCAGCAAATTGTCTATTGTACGACCCGCTGTGAGGGACATATTGGATTGATTGCTGAATTCCTCTCTCTTGTAATGTTCTTATTTCTCTATCGAAAAACGATTTTCTTTCAAGATGTCAGTGAAACAAAAGTATTGGTAAAGCCACACCTTCACATTTTATATTATGATTAGTATTTGTTCGCCTATAAATATAAATAACGATCGATATGGATCTCAGTGAACTATGCCCTGTTAATTGTGCACGTGATGTTGCAATTGACATACTGACTGTGTACATTGCTCGCATGCTGCATTGATTGACGTATGTCAATAGCCTTTTGCTGGTTGCAAGAGAAAAAAAAAGAAAAGCCATTGTTTCGCCCGATTGTCGGTGCCTTGAAGGAGAGTTAAGCTTTCTAGCTGTATTAGCAGGCATGGTTTTTCTTTTTACGATATGGAGTTTTCTACGTTTTTCATTTCTAACCAGGCAGTTTTGATTCATTCTGGCAATAAGATAATATTAAGACACAATGACATGCCGACATACATTGGTTGTATTTGAAGTGAAATTACAATTTTTGCACCTAATCTATATTTATCATCCAAAACTGTCTCCCACAGGAGATATGGCTTGGATGAGATCAAGCGATATCTACACTGTAGATATCGCTGCAATGAAATTACATCACAATGCTTTGCAGACCATTGTGACATCACTGGTTACCATGACGTCACAATCAAATGACATCACTAATGGCTCTGCTACTGAAGCTGTTAGCAGTACTTTTTACACTGAAGACACTGCTAATTACTGTCTCCAAATTGAAAAAGTTGGAAGAATGATGTTGGATGATAAATAAAATCTCACCAGAGTGTCTTTTGACATCAAATATATCAACACTCGTTGATAAAAGTGGCAAAAATCCTCGGCAAGCCTCGGAATTTTTCCACTTTTATCAACTCGTCTTGATATATTTGATATCAAAAGACACTCGGGTGAGATTCTCTATGTATGTCAAACATTAACACAGTATTTCAGTAATATCGTAGTATGGCGGTTTGGGGGAGAAACACGAAGTTTTGAAAATACACTACCGGGCAAAAGAAAGTATACACTTGAAGACTGGAATTGACCAAAACATTACAAACAAAACATTACGAACGTTATCAAAAAGAGACGCCGAAACACTGCAAACATAAGGTCCAAAACACAACTGCGATTCCGTACCAAATATATCACCAAGGAATAACCATTTTTTTGTTTGGTTCACTTTTTAGCCACCATCAAACATGGGTGTATATTTTCTTTTGCCTGACAATCTAAAAGACGGTTACCACTTTGGTGAAACTCACGAGCTGTGGAGTGTTGCTGACACACCTGATCGGGTTCGTGGGGGTGGGGTGGGGTGGGGGGTGGAGGGGTGGGGGTGGGGGGGTTTGGGGGTGGGGGGAAGGGGGTATGAGATGGTATCTATGATCGATCTCCATGCGTTCTCTCTAAGTGCCAAACAGGAACGATATGTTCTCACACTTGGGATCACTTCTAAAATTGAGGATCTGGTTGTTTTTTTAAATAAATATACTTATATTTTCCAGTAAATGCTGGGAAGAAATAATTTGGTCTCTGAAACATGTTCACTTGACTGGGCGTCCTGTAAAAATGTATTGATGCCTACACAACATGACGTCTTGAAACACTGCCAGAAAACATATTCTGTTTCCGTCAAATTCCGTTAGTCCAGACAATTGACTGGAAACGTTACTGTCCGGATGAATGGAATTTCATAACACACCATGATATATAAAATCACCTATATGTAGCATTGAAAAGTTAACGCCTCAAAACCAAAATGTTAACAGCACATGGATAGATTAGTAAAGATTTCTGATCATCCTTGATCACCGAGGAGAAACACTGACCTATGTCATACACAATGGACTTCA